GATATAGTTTGAATATAAAAACAATAACAATCCTACAATCGAGTCAGAAAAACTGGTTTTCGTATGTACGTTGTGTACGCGGTGACGTCATGCCGTAACGACTCCCACAACGTACCGCATTGTTGTTGGGGGAAGAGAAGCAGGAGCTCGGGCAGCGGCGGAGCTCTGCCACCTGTCTCTGTACACTCCTGTCCCCTGGTGCTTTACCCGGACCCCAGTAGCACGCCCGGGACCGGCTCTTCGCCCTGGACACCTGCCTGCCGGTCTCTCTCAAGTTCTACTCGGTTCAGCGCGAGCCGCGGCCGCCGGTGGATGAGCGGACTGAATGTGGATTTAGCTGCTGCTTCGCCCCGCAGGCCGCGCCGCCATTGCTGTTGTCTTTGCGAGCTGGATTGGTGAAAAACCCCGAGGTAGGTTGAGTCTCACTCTGTGTTCGCCTCTTTAATATCCGCTCCCAGTTGCCTCGGCTGGTTTAAACCCAGAACCAACCTGCGCTGCTGTGAGGAAAGGCCAACTTTTTCTGTCGAGCCAGCTTCTTGTTGTGCTGGTCGCCATATTTCCTCCCCCACTCAGTAAGTGTAATGCTAGCAGGCTAACATTAGCCCGGTTTGTGGACGGAGTGTCCTAATGCGTTTGTGGGACGAGCGGAGGGGCCGCCGCCTCATTGGCCCGCACCACCGGCTCGTCTTTTGTCACGAGGGGCCCGTGTTTAGCGGATAACGTTTAAAGAGGCTCGATTACACTCGTAGATCATGGTTGTGTTTCGACTGAGTGGAGCTAACGTTAGCCGCGGTTAGCAGACCCAGCTCCAGTTGGAGAGAACCTGATCGGGCTGCTGTTATTAGCCGTTGATTTCCAGCAACAACAACCGACTCTCAGCGGCTGCAGGCCGCAGATCGAGGAGCTCCGTGGGGTCTGTGTAGAGGCGTCTGGCTGCTCTGTGTCTCTTTCATTCATCCAGTGCATGTTACCACATCCAGTGTGTGTCCGCCCCCTGTTGTCTCACTGCACACCAACTGAAAGCACGTTGATCTCAGACATGAATGCTGCATAAACACATCCTGGTGCCTCTTACAGAGAGGACAGCAGCTCGGCTCCTCTGTCCACACCTGTGATTGTACAAATGCGGTGACAGCGTTTGCTTAGATTTAGCCACTAGTCTTAAAAGTGATAGTTTTCAGTAGCTCTTACTTCACCGCAAAGCCGAGAGCGAAACACAGTGTTCACAGTCAGTCTGTTTATATGCCTGTTCTCACACTCAGCCCACAATGAAAGAATGTTGATCTCAGAAAGTTCAGCTGCTCAAACACTGGAGCTTCAAATGTAAAACTCAGCTGCACTTCACTTCTGTTGTGGAGGCCTGTAAAGATTTAATTGTTATGTAGACCTCCACCCTACCTTCATTTCCATTGTCCGGATTCTGCTTATTTTTATTTGTTTTACTTTTCAGCAGTGTGGCTTTGTCTTTGTCTGTTGAACAACAGTCCCAATGCAACAGATGTGCCTGCAAAATACAAACACTGACTTACTGCATTTTGAAAAGTGAACACATCACATTCTTGATTTTGTTTGCCTCATTTAAATCACTTTCAGTTTAAGAAATAATTGCAGAAGCTCTTCATTTATTTATTGGTTTAATATTTCCATCCATAGAAGTAATTGCACCAATAACATTTGTAGTAGAATTGTTTGGACAATCAACAAAAAATGTATCACCAACTCTTTGATTGACTCTTTAATTGTTGAAGTAATTTTAACAGCCACATTCAACACATTCTTTAGGATCATGGTTTGTACATTTATTTCATCGTATATGATTCTTGAATCATTTTCTGGTCAAAACTAGAAACATTTTGTCTGCTGGGGCTCTTGGAAACTGACAGACATTTTCACAATTTTTTCATAAATCATTATTAAACAAATAATCTAAACGTCTAATAATCTAAGCAACAACAATGCTGGATTAATATTGAGAATAATTGAATTTCTAGAGTCAAACTTTTACATCAATAGCTTGTTAGACTGAGTCTTGAGTTTTTATTTGGATTGTTCCTGAAAAAAAAGGGAAGCTCTTCTAAATGTATTCATACAATGTTCTTACTTTAAAAATATATCAGGTTTGGTATGTGGAAAATGAAGTTTATATTCCCCAAGCTAAGGAGCTGGAAATACGTTTTTGTTATCAGTACTACTGATGCATCACCTTTTCAAACAATACCCAGCCCTTATGTGGCCAGGATATTTGCATAATCTGCACTCAGTCAAAGTTGACAAGAGTCAATGCCTACAGCAGATGAGTCTCGGCTGTACCATGTGGAAGACCCTATTCATTTGTAATACATGAATTGCTTGTTTCAAGTTGCATTTGCAAATCTTAACTCAGTTGTTCAACACTTTTGCTGGTTGTACAATGAGTTTTACAGCATCATAGAAATCCTTAACACACATGACCTGCACAACAACTATAAGAGACTGTAACGCAACCTGAAATTTAAAGGCTTTTTATTTTTTACATATATTACATTTTTATAAATGAAGCTTGAAGAGGTAGTGCCATCCTTGTGTAAACACAATACCTGCCCAACATTTTGCCTGGAAGGTAACTGGAGGGTTAAAGCTGTTAATCATTGGTGCTGGTTTGTGTCTGATCCAACACACACTTCTC